TGGTGTGCTATCCCAGGTGATAAACATGCCCCGTGAGGGCCTCCCGGGCACTGGCGGCCTCTCCAGAATGGGCACTAGATGAGCCCAGCATTTGGCGTCCTGAAGAGCTGATGCATCCTTGCTCACATTCTCGCTTTCCTTTTCATTAACTTTTTCTTTTTCGGTACTATTTAGCAAGTAAGCGTTTTACAAGCATTTTCTCCTTTCAGCTTTGTGCCAGGACTAATAGGCATTTCGAGGCACACCCTAAACTGTCCCCATTTTACAGCCAAAGAGTCTACAGCTTTGAGAAAAGGATGATGCCCAAGGTACCAGCCAGGAAGGACAGGCATGGGGCACTCAGCCACACTGGTCCCAACGCAGATCCCTGAGTGAGCCCCTCTCCACGGGCATCTGATTCACAGCCGCCCTGGCTTTTCCAGGGCCCCCAGGTACTCAGGTCACTGACGGCCCAATGAAGCACTGTGAGGGCTCAAGTTCACATGCAAACTGCTCCATCTAACACATAAACTTTGCCTCCAATGTCTCTCGTGGGCATGCCTTCTCCTAGCCAGCATCCTCTCTGCCAGCCTAAAATGTTCCTCAGGGCCACTGAACAGATCTTTGACTCCGACAGTGAAGATCCTAAGCCCCATCTGGGGAAGAAGCTCCTGCTTCCAGGACCAGAGAACAGGAAGCCAGGGTCATGGATTCTAGGCCAAGGTCCTGACCGGATCCCAGGCTGCTGGCAAAGCCCAAGCCCTGGCACAGGCTTCCATCTTCCCTGGCAGGCCCAGGTCCCAGACACTTCGGATGGGGCCTGAAACTGAGGGACCCTGTTTTGATTGCTTTCTCTGCCTCCGATGCTTGCTCAGCCTCAGAGTAATCTTTGCGCAGTCACTCCCCTGCTCAACCACCTTCCATGGCTCCCCATTGCCCACAGCCTACCCCTTAAAATCAATACCTAACTTTTCTAGTTTTACCTTCTGCATCAAGAACCTAAGATTATCTGAAATGCCCGCCATTCTCCCTCTCCTATCTCCAGGCATTTGCTCCTTTATTCCCAAGGACCTACTCTGCCAGGGAGATGGTTGGTGTATATGGGTGGAAGGGAGGGCGGCAGCTGCTGCTCAGACTGTCCTCACAAGTATAGTGTGGGGCCAGTACAGCTGGATCTTCCCAGTTTTTGAGAGAAGCCAGACTCTTATGTAAAGCCACCTGATTTTTAAATGTTGGCAACTAATTCTAATTTTTTAAATCACTCCCTGCCCCAAACACAGACATCTGTGGGCTAGTTGGGACCCAGGGCCACTGGCTCAGGGCTTCCTCCCTGCCACCTCCATACCACAGGCCACTTTCAATCCACCCACTTGTCAAACCTAAGTATTCATTTTAGCCTTATCTGAAGCAATAAGATGCAATCACAGCTTCAATGTGCTCATTTATGCTTTTTTAATATCAATGAAAGTGTCTGTTGCTGTCGACTGATGGCCCACCAACCAACCCTTGGAGTGGGGAATGCGGCCAAGCCTAAGAACCACCTCTTCTGGGAAAAACTGTGTCCCATGGAGCCACCAACTGTGTGGCAGGCTCCAGGCTGAGGACAGCACAAGTGTCCTCACCAAGACTATCCTTCACGGGCTTTCCCAGGCTTCCGGTGGGAAGTCCTCCCGCTAACTAGCCTAAATGCCACAGGCTGCCCTTGGCCGACCTTCCCCTTGCTCTGGCGGAAAGGCGTTGGCCTGGGTCCCTGAGCGGCAGCTCTGAGACTGGCGGAGGTGACTGATTCCACCGCACCCTGCCTGGGAGCATGGGGAAGGGCAGGCGTCACTGTCCAAGGAGGGTGGGGAGTAGATGGCCACCCCTTTCCCCCAACAGGTCTTCTCTTCAGGACACCCTTCTCTCCTTCCATCCATCCGTCCGTCTGTCCATCTGTGCTCTCCCAGGCTCCCTTCTCCCTTGTTTCAGAGGCCTCCAGCTGCTGCCGGCCCTGAAACAGAGGAGAAGACAGAGGGTGTGTGGCTGGTGGACGGGCGGAGGGAGCGAATGAGCGAGTGCCTGAGTGAGTGAAGGATGGGGAGGCTGGGGGAAGGAGCAGGGAGAAAGAGGGGGCACTCATCCTCCAGCCTCTCGGGGTCACCCTGCGTCATGTGCCCCCGCAAAACATAATCCAAGTCCTAACCCCTGTTCCCTATGAATGTGACCTTGTTTGGAAGGAGGGTCTTTGCAGACATCATTAGTTAAGGGTCTCAGGATGAAAGGGGAGGGGTATGTGACAGACGCAGAGGGGAAGGTGGAGACCGGGGCACAGCTAGAAGCCCAGGGACACCAAGGAACCGCACAGCCAGGAGAGAGGCAGGGACTGTTTATTCCTCAGAGCCCCAGGAGGAACCAACCCTGCCAGCACTTGGATCTGGGACTTCTGGCCTCCTGAACTGTGAGAGAATACATTTCTGCCGTCTGAAGGCACCCAGTCTGTGGTCTTTTGTTACAGCAGGCTCAGGAAACTAATGCCGGTCTCCGGCCCTGGCATCGGGTCGCCCCATGGCTGCCCCAGCGTCCACCCCTGGCTCCCACGCTCCTGCACACAGGGAGGTTCCATCTACAGCTGGCTGAATCCCACCTCCCTCCAGAGGTGCAGAGAGGAGGACAAGAGGGGCCAGGGGCTGTGTCCTTGGAGCTCTCAGTGGCTCCCGGGGGCTCTCTGTTCCAGGGAACTTTTTTCATTCAGTTAACACAGCCCGACTGAGCAACTGCTACCAGGCCAGGTGGACTCTAGTCTCTACTCTGTGAGAACTTGCTTTATGACCTTGGGCATGTCTCTGCCCCTCTGCCTGCCCCAACAGCAATGGGGGGGTCCCTATTATGTACCCTCCAAGGTGGCTGTGAACTCCAGGAGACTGAGCAAGCCCTGCTCTGAGGCTGTCCCTTCACAATGTCATTACAATTATACAAACGCCATCACCCATCAGACCGGAGATCCAGTCAGCTGACCTGTCTGGGCTCCAGTCTCAAAGTGCTCGTAACAATCACCATCGGCCGAGTGGGGCTGGGGTTGGATGCAGCCTTGCAGACATGGCAAGGACCATGGTCCTGGGGCCTGTCCATGGTGAAATAAGGCCACCACCTACAGGCTCTGAACTCTGTTTTGCTCACCTCTAGCACTCATCACAGACCTGGCACATAGCAGGCCCTCCATGATCATTTGTGGGTGGATAGATGGATGGATGGACAGATAGATGGATGGATGATGGATGGATGAATGGGTGGGTGGGTCGGAGGGTGGATGGGTGGATGGATGGATGGATGGTTGGATGCCCTGTCTACTGCATGCCTTTCCAGAGGCCATGAAATGACCGAAGAGCAGATTTTGAGCCTGGCACATAGTAGGCTCTCCATGATCATTTGTGGGTGGATAGATGGGTGGATGGACAGATAGATGGATGGATGATGGATGGATGAATGGGTGGGTGGGTCGGAGGGTGGATGGGTGGATGGATGGATGGATGGTTGGATGCCCTGTCTACTGCATGCCTTTCCAGAGGCCATGAAATGACCGAAGAGCAGATTTTGAGCCCTAGCCCACCCCTCCTGGCCTCAGTCTGCCCCCCAGTCCCTGTGCAGTTGGATGAAAGGCAACATGCACCTCCCCAACCCAGCTACAGTAAGGAGATGCCTTCTCAACTGAAGGGAGCTGGAGTCTATGGGGTCCAGTTCTCCCAGGAGGACCCCATCTCCCTCGCCTCACCCCCCAACTGGGGACTCTGCTTAACCAAACTCACTGGCTCAGCTGCCAGGGAGCAGTGAGGAGCTCTCTCTGGGTGTTCCCAGTAGGAAAGGGGGCCCACTGACTTGGTCCCAAAAATGGCTTCTCTCAATGGAAGCGGGAAGGCAGGCCAGGTCCTTCCCCCATCTCCCCAGCCCCTAACGGGGCCTCCGGCCACCACCCGGCTCTGGGCCACGCTCTGGCTACCTGGCCAGGCTGACCTGAGGTGATGCCTACAGAGCACAGGAAACTCTGACTGTGCCCCCTGAGCACATCCGGGCCTGGCCAGACACCACCCACGCACGCTCACACCGAGCGCCCCTCCCAGAGACAGACACGAGGACCCACTGACATGTCACTTACTGGTCTGCACGTCACATGTCACAGGGGAATCAGGCTCCTGCATGGGGAGGAAGGGGAAAAAACTGCTGTGGCCTCCTCACTGCTCTCTCTACTACCCCTCCCAGCACATCAGGAGCAGGAAGCTTTTCCTCCTCCCCTGCGGGGACACCCACAGGAGGTCCCCTGGCGTCGGGCTCCAGTCTCTCCCCTACCAGGATCACACTTGGTCCCACCTCGGCTCCCTGCCCAGGCTGGGCCCCCCATCCGGAATGTCCTCTCTTCAGTTCTCTGTGCATGAGAAACCTCCTCCCACCCTCCCCCGCAAGGCTGTCGCAAAGTTCCATGTGCACGGAGGTCTCTCCTTTGCCAGCACCGCACCATCTCTGCCCCGACTCCATCCTCGGGGCCCCTCCTCCCTGTGAGGGCACCTCCACTGACTAACCGTTGCTGCCACCAGGCCCCCCTTTCCTCCTCTTGGAAAACTCCAAAGCTGAGCTTTCGCCGCCACCCGCAGAGGCTACATGAACTCAGGGCCGGGGGCTCGGCCTGCAGGGGAGGGGGCCCTGAGGCTCCCTGTCCACCTCCTACTGCAGCAGGACTAGGATCCGGGCCTCCCACTTCCCAGCTCTAGGTGCTCCCATGAAGATGTCTAATCGTCCCCAAGAGAGAAGGGCCAAAGGCCAGGTTCTTGGAGAGGGAGGGGAAGAGGTGACACGGGTATGTGGGAGCCCTAGGCTGTCAGGAATGCACACAGAGCCACTGGCTTTCTTGGAGCCCCACTTCTTCCCAGAACATTCCAGTCCTCTCTTGTGTCTGGGCCTTTATACATGCCGATCCTCTGCCTGAAGGGCCCTTTCCAAACCACCTGCCTTCACGTTCACCCACCCACTTCCTGCTCCTCCTTTAAGTCTCAGCCTGCAGGCCACCTCCACTGGGAAGCCTTCCCTGATGCTCCTGGAAGCCTCCTCCTCTGCACCCCACATCCTCTCCACTCCCCACCATGGAAGCACTTCCCCGACCAACCGTGACCTCCTGACAGGCAGGGCCGGGCCAGTCCTTTTCAGTCCTGTGGCCACAGTGCCTCAGAGAGTGTGTGAGCTGTGCAAACAGGCAGGCTGGGTGGGCTGGGTTCCCGCTGCAGGCTCCCTCTTCCTTCTGTACGACCGCCACCCCAGGGACACAGGGCAACCATCTCACCCTTGCCTGAGTTCCCAAGACCCCTCCTGCCACCACCCAGGGTCCCCGCTCTCCCAGCTCAGCACCCACCTGCTCCCCAGCCTTCCCACGGAGCACTGGCTGTGGCAGGGCCCGCTCCAGCCTGTGCAGGAGCCATGCCATCAACCTGCGGGTGGGAGAGAGTGATCATGTCACGTGGGAAAGGAGACCAGCGGCGGATCCCCTCTCCATGCCCCGTACCACCCCCTAAGAAACAGACGTCGAGCCTGCCAGAGGCAGATGAGAACCCAGACAAAGACCATCGTTCCCCTCCCTGTCCCTCCCAGGCAGGTGTCCGTCTACTGCTCAGACCCCAGCAGGCAGCTCAGGCCCCGCCAACCTCCACCCCACCCCCGGAGGTGCATTCAGGCCCCTCACACACGGCCAGGTAGGACCATGTGGCAGTCCCTACACCGATTTTAAATGCATGTGTCCTTTGGCCCAGCGACTCCATTGCCTCTGATTTATCCTATAGATTTACTTGCATGAGAGTGAAACGATGCCTGTACAAGGCCATTGCTTGCAGCAAAGAGTGGAAACAAACCTAAACGTCTACTGCGTGGTTACGTAAAAGCCGGTATATCCATATAATGGAGTACCACCCAGCTGCGGACCTGAATGTATAAAACCACCTCGAAGATACATTTTTAGGAGAAAAAAAGCAAGATGCAGAAGAGAATACATGATTTGCTATTGTCACATGGGTGTGACATGTACTCGCAAGTTTGTTTGTGCCTAGAAAATACGGGAAAGGAAGAGAAGCTGCTGATGCCATTGCCCTGGGAAGGGGCCTTGGAAACCCCTTTGAATTTTCTCCCAGGGGCATGTGTTACTTTTATACTTTAAAAAACCAGTTTGGTGAATGTTGGGTGTTCGGCTGGGGTGAGGCACTGATCTTGCTTCCCGTGGGAGGTGTGGCATTTAGGGGGGCTCACCTGGCAGGGTCTCCGGGAGGTGGCAAGGGGGAATCTGGGGTGCCAGGCTGGTGCTCTGGGGTCAGCTCTTCCTCAGGCTCTGGGGGCCCGGGAGTGGGCAGGGTGGGGCTCTCCAGGGCCTGTAGCACAGGCTCCGTTTCCAAGGGGGGTGCTGGGGGCTCTAAGTGGCAAGGGAGCGGGAGACTAGATGACATGGCAGGGCTCCATGTGACCCGTCAAGGACACAGGGGGCCAGAATTAAGGGGCCACTATGACTGAGTAGGGAGCCCCTTGGGACCACCCAACTACTCCTATCACCAGACAGACACAGAACTGAGGCCTGGGGTGGGGAAGGGACTTGTCTAAGGCCTCATAAGGCTATCCCAGGTCATTGGCCTCACGGCCTGGACCGGGAGGGAGTTCTAAATCCCCACCCCCCACCCAATAGCTGGCTCCCAGCAAGCCTTGAACCCCTCCATAGCCCGAGTGAGTGCTAAGGTCCTTCCCTGGGATCCCCCAGGTTCCAGTTGTACCCCCAGCCCAGCCTGTGACCACCCCAGACAGCCCCTTCCCGGGTCCCCTCTCTATACCTGGGCCCAAGGCATCATCTGCAGCAGGTTCATCTCTGGAGCCCTGGATCATAAACAAGGAGTGAGGGCACGGAGCAAAGCAAGCCCTGTATATGTCTCCCCTGGCCAGCTGTGCCCTGTCTCGTCCTTCCTCCGAACCCCCTGTCTCGCTTGCAGTCGCTCTTCCCATCAGGGACCTTCCAGGGAAGGGAGCACCCCCTCTGTGCGTTCCAGGAATGGGGTGGGGATAGACCATTAGAGTAGACAGGCCCTTCCTGGGACCCCAGAAAGGGTCAGTTTCTGGCTCTCCCTTTTCCTCCACTTACCTGGGAGGTTTTTGGAGGCTGAGGCAGCACTTTCTCCAGATTCTGCTCAAACCACCGGAGCAGCCTGGGCCCAGGCCTGCGGAGGGGCTGGTGGTCAGTAGAGTGGCCCGAAGGAGTGGCCGGCCACACTGTTCTGACTGCCTGCGGGGGTCCCAGGCCTTGACCGGCCCTTTCTCACACTCTCTCCCTCGGCACAATGGGGTTCTTGTGCTGGATAGTCTTCGGGGGGTCTTAGGTGATGAAGGAACTCCCACCAACCTCAGACCAGGCTCAGGAACAACAGCCTCAGTGTGGGCCTCCTGGACAGCAGGTGAGGGGCGGGCACTGCTTAGGGACCTGAATGCAGCAGCGGGGCTCCCTGTGACTGGGACCGACAGGTCTAGTTTCACGGGAAAATAAGCAGTGTAGTCAGATAGGGCCCCACTGTTAGAAGGGCCCATTTTTTAATGCTCTGTTGTTATAGTCTTAAACTCTGCACTGGGCCCCACAAATTATGTCACTGTCCTGGGGCCAACATTAGGTTCTGTGTTGTGCTGGGCACAGGGTTTAGGAGTTACTGACAAAAGCCCCTGAGCGTGAGCACCCTACTGTCTGAAGAATGAATAAGGGAAGGAATGAATGAGTGGGATGAATGGAGATGAATGCACGACTCTGGATTTCTAGGAGAGATTGCAAACTGGAGGCTTCAGGCTTATTTGGGAAGCCCACAGCGTTCTGAAAACTTTCAATTGCTTGGCATCATTTAAAACTAAGGATTTGACATAAAAACCTAAATGTCTAGTATCTCTTTAAAAACTGGAGGATCTAGAACCCACACTCCTGCAGGGCAGAGAAAACTGGAGCTGAGCAGGGCCCCTCCCCGGAGGAGAACACGGGCTCTCCCATTTGCCATAGTGCTCACCTAGCTGCCACCCGCTTTAGTCAGCTCTGAGCAGTTTGACGCTCTTACCAACTGTGAGGCTAACTCGGACATCCCAATGTCCCCCATGGTGGCCTAGGCCCTGCCTCTGGGCTCCACATGGCACCCGCCCATCTGTGAGGAGCCCATCCATGCCTCCTCCCGTCCTCAGGAGGTGGCCCCTACCTGGGGATCCCCCAGTAATCAACATAACAAACCATAGGTAGCACGAGGCCCATCATCTCCATTTTGTGTGTATGGGAAAAGTGAGGTACAGAGAGACGAAAGGTACGTTCAAGGTTACACACTGAAGTGGTAGTGGATCCTGTTCTCAAACACGAGGCTTGGACTCTGAACACTGCCCCCCACCCCACACACTGCAGATGAGGCTCAGGGCCTCCCAAACCAGCACTCGGGGACGGGGACTCACCCGGTGTCCTGTGCCCTCAGGGCCTCATTGGGTCCATCTGCTGAAGAAAGAAAGGTGGTGAGCAGCGAGAGGCCCGCCCAGAGCCTCCCAGTCACCCCAACTCAAAATCACGTTTGAACCCTGGGGCCAGTCAGATGGGAAGTCTCCCCAGGGACAGGGTGCGGCCCAACCCCACCACCCCCTCGGCCCTAGCCCTGTAAATGCATCCTGCCTCCTGGACGTACCTGAGTCCCCAGGGCTGCAGTGCCCGAGAATCTCTGCCCCTGCCTGCTGAGAGAGACAGACAGACGGACAGACATGGGCAGAAAGCCCAGGTGCTGACCTCCCACCACCCCTTCCCCACCGACCCTCAGCTCCCAGCCCCTGCAGTACCTGAGCAGGGCCCTCCAGGCCACTACGAACAGGCTGTGGGACGACTTTCTCCATACCCTTCTTGAGCCAAGTCAGCACCCAGCCACTGGGGCTGCAGAGGGGACAGAGGTGCCAGCCCACCCTCAGCCTCCCCAGCCTCAACTCGGTCGGGATAGCAGCCCACAGCCACAGAACCCTATCTTCAAACCTCTATCTCCCCCACTGTGAGACTTCAGACACGTCTCCTCCCCCCCACCGCCCCCACAACCTAGCGTCCCTCTCTGGAAAGTGGGGGACACCAACCCTTGGTGAGTCAGGCATGCCCAGTGCCATCCCGAGCCCACCCTATCAGATGCTCAGTGGGAGCAGTCAGTTCTCTTCATCATCCTGGCTCCAGGGGTCCCCGTCCTGCCCTTGGCTCACATCCTATGCCCCAGCAGGGTAAGATTTTCCCGTGGGGCACTCCTTGTGGCTGAAGCTGGTCCACTTAAATATGAAGGTCACAGGCTCACTGCCTGAGGCCAGCCCAGCACACACAGCACCAATGGTCTCAAAATATTTGAGCCAACTGGGAGATTTTGTGTAAAAGTCTGGATTTCTGGCTTCGTGGGAAAACCAGTGGAGCTGCATTTCCCCCACGCACTGGGAAACCTCTGGCCCTACCTCTGTTTCTCTGGGTCTCATTGCCCATTTGGCCAGGAGGCTCCCACTCACTGCCTGAGGCCCCTTCCAGCCAGCTCCTAAAAAGGTTCCAGCCTTTGCCTAGGAATGACTGTGGACCTGGGAGCAGTGCCAGACCCCATCCCCCAGTGGCTCCCTAGCTTGGGGGGCGGGGGGCTGGCCCTAAGGAGAAGGGCGGGTAGCACGGTACCTGTTCACTTCGGGAACCACAGCAACCTGGGACTGGACGGATGTGGGCGAAGTAGGGGTAGCCTTCTGGGTGTCTGGAAAAGAGTCTCTCACACTTTAGATCTGGAGCCTCTCAGAGGCCCATTTCTACCCTGTGAGGAGGTCAAGTCAGAGGCAGGGGAGAGGGGAGAACCCTGAGGGGGTAAGAAGGCTGGGGTTCCAACTCAGCTCAGCTAAAAAGTCCCCAGCAGCCCCCCCTTAGCTTTTCTGAGCCTCCGTTTCTGCATCTGTAAAAGGGGCATGCCAGCCTCCTCGTTCCTCTGCAAGGCTCTGAGGGGGAGGACATGGCCGCTCCACCGCCCGGCCTGCCAGCCTGGGTTCCCCGCACTCACCCTGAGGGCTTCGAGCAGTCTCAGCTACTTCCTCCCCTTCGAATGGCTCCTCGGGTGGCTGGTGGGTTCAAACAGGACCACATAAGCCCTCAGAGAGACCAGCCGATGTGCTCAAAGGAAATTTCTAGAGTAGTGCTGCTCAAAGGCTGGTGGGTGGACCAGTGTCCGTCTTCAAACTTACTGGTCCACAGGGAATAAGCAGTTTATACCAGAATGTCTATCAACACACTAAAAGTCTGACTGCAAAACAAATACCAACTGAACTAAGCAGTGTGTTTAGTGACATCGTATCTTTACATTCTAGCAAGCTCCTAATCTCATCCTGGACTAATAAGCAGTTAGTTCATGGATTCGCTACTTCTTCGAGTAGCTCTGTTCTAAACTCTAGAGGTTGGCAAACAATGGCCCGTAGGCCAAATCCAGCCTGCTGCTCATTTTTATAAATAAAGCTTTATTGAGACACAGCCATGCTCATTCATTGACATATTGTCTATGGCTGTTTTCACATGACAATGGCGGAGGTGAGTAATTAACAGAGATGGCATGACCCACAAAGCCTAAAATATTTACTCTCCTGTCTGTTACAGAGCCAGGTGACCTCCATGTTCCCTTCTGGTTCCAACTTTCTCTGCTGTGGATGGTCCATGGGGGCAGCTTCCCCCCGCTGGGAATTCCCTGACAGCGAGGCCAGCCTGCCCTTCCTTACCCTCCACTTCTTACCGGGGACTCATCCTCCAGCTCAGCCTCCTGGGGGGCTATTTCAGGCTCTGGCTCTGGTTCCAGCTGCATCACCAGTGCAGGCTCTGGCTCTGGTTCTGTCCTCTCCTCCTCCATCTTGGTCTTCTGAGGAGTCCCTGGAGGCTGAGGCAGCACCCTCTGGACCCAGCCCAACATCCTGACACCTGCAGGGGACAGAGTCCTTAGGCCTCTCAGAGTGCTCACAGTTGCTCTCACCATCAGGGGCCACTTTTGTGAGTTACACGTTTTCTTTTCCTCTCATATTTGAAAATATTTTGCAATTATATCTCCAGGTATTCGCCTTATAGAAATACTCAAGCCCACACACACGTGTGTAAAAAGAGGTGGGTCACAACAGTGCTAAAGCAAAATGCGGAAAACATCCAAATACCCATCAGTAGGAGACCGGTTATCAGAAAGCGCCTAAATGCTCACCTGTAAGAGGGGCAGGTATTAAACAAATTACAATACATCCAACAATGGAATATACGGAGCCATTTTAAAAAGCAGATCTATCTGAACTAACAGAAAGAGACGTCCATGCTCTGGACTCTAGTCATGAATAGATCAGTTAAACTCTCAGTGCCTCGGTTTGCTTGCCTGTACAGTGGTGTGTTTATAGTACCTACCTTGTGGGGGTGACTGAGAGGATGAAGAACAGTGGCTGGCACACACTGAGAGCTTCACAAATGTTGGCTGCGACCGTTATTTGGTGTCAAGCAAAAACACTTATTGTGAATATTGGCATTTATGTTCAGTATAATCCCATTATAGATTTAAAAAAATACGTTATAATATATAAATGGAAAATCTATTTTGTTTAATAGACCAAATTAACCTACTTTCATGATTTAAATATTTTTAAGAGACAGTGACAGTTTAACCCCTTTTAAATGGTTTACTGTAGCATTTCAGCCCTATCTTATATGGGTTCAATTTCTGGTATCATTTATCTTCGGGGGACTTGGAGCCCCTGCCCTCATGACTAGATCCCTGCAGGATGGCCTGGCCCAGCAGACTCCACACAGCTCAGTGTGTGCAGACTCCCAGGCCTGAGAAGGCCCTTCTGGAGCACTAACTAACGCGGTGTGACCCCAAGCCCCAGCCATGGGCAGCCGAGACGTTGACACAGGGCTTTTCTGTCCCTCCTCTACCAGGAACCCTGGCCCCAGGCTGAAAAGGGCAGGCATAGGGCCCAGGATCCCTGGGACCCCAGCACCCAGCTCCCCCAAGCCCCTGGCCCTGCTGCCTGCCTTACTCACAGCTCTACTCTCCACTCTGGCCTCGGGAGCCCAGCATCTCATATGAGAGGTTGTGGCGGGGACAGAGTTGTGGCTCAGTCTCCAAAACGGTAAACATGGGCCAGACGTGAGCACTCTGGTCTTCCACTTCCCTGCCGAGTCGAGGTGTAGATACAGGGATTACCAAGGTCGGCAGAGTCCCAGGTCACATTAGTTTAAGATGGCGGAACCAGCAGCCCCACAAGCCAAAAGTGAGCGAAGTGCTCTCCACCTCATCCTCGTTCTCACCACCTTTGGCCCAGTCCCAGTAAAAATGAGTGTTTTCATCACCTCTTTACCGCAAAGGAAATGGAGGCACAGAGAGGTCAGTAGACTAAACGAAAGGAACACAGCCAGTGCGCGGCCAAGCCGAGTTGATACCCAGGTCTGCCTGTCTCCAGAGGTCCCACATCTACGCCCGACGGTACTGGCATCGCTTCTTCTGTGAGCCAGTCCTGCAAACCCTCTCACGGCAGGCAGCAATTCTGGCTCCTGATTCTGAACCTTCTGGAAATGACTAGGGAAGCTTTCTTCACTCCCGAATTGTCTTCTTCCTCCAGACTCAGCCCAATGGAAACTTTTGCACATCCCTCCCATCTTTCGGCCACGTCCCTGCCAACTCCGCTTTGATGAGGGTGGCTCAGGTAGGAAGGAGGTCCTGAGAGAGGCAGCCCAGGACAACGGTGGTGCCTGGACTACCAGCCTTTCAGAATCGTCTGGGGAGCTGGTAAAAACACAGGTTCCTAGGTCCCTCTAAAGCCTCTGAAGGACCTAGAACCTGCATTTCTACAAGATGCTCCTGAAGATTCTGAGGCACGCTAAGGTTTGAGTCCCACCAGCAGCGTAGGAGAAGGAAGCCTCAGGTTTCCCAGCCTGGCCTGTTTCTCTAAGTCTTAACACCTTGCTAGAAGAACATGGGGATCCCATCAGCAATCCCACCGAGCCGCCACCTTATCCTGAGTTACCTGCTCAGATGCCGACCACCAGCCAGAAAGTGCCTTCTCCCTCCCACTAGCAGCTGTGGCCTCTCAAACACTGGGGATTAATTGCCTGCACCAGACAGGGCCGTGTGCAAAGGATTAGCAGGTGCCAAACAGGGGTGGGAGGTGGCGGTGGAAGAGAGGAGGTCGATGCCCAGGGAGCCAACGACAACTCCCCAGGGCCCCCAGGGAAGGAGCCCCGGGTAGCCCAGGTTTGGGGCACCACGAGTTGTTAGGGGATCTGCCCAGGTACGAGGGGCCCGGCTCCCCACCTGTCTTAGCCAAGTCGCAGAGTGGCTGGTGGGACAATGACAGCTTGGAGCCCCATGTGGTTCTGGGAGACTCCTCAAGGTGGCAGGGTCATGTAAACTGTCAGTGACAGTGGCGGGAGCCACCCCCCAGCTCTCCGGCCACAGCTCCGGGACTCAGACAGATTCTCTCTGGTCCAGGGTCTTCTGCAGCTGGGTGAGGCCTCGGCAGCCCTTGCCAGAATGGCTGTGGTCCCAGGGCTGGGCCTTTAAGAGGGATCCAAGGACTCACAGATGACTGACTGCATGTGAGCTGGCCCCCAGAAAGGACACGGAGATCTAGAGAGAAAGGACAAGGGGAACAGAGGTCCGGTGAAGAGGGGCTCAGCGAGGTGACAGGAGCTGGGTGAGGAGTGGGGTAGAGGGATGGTCAGCGAAGGGGCCGGAAACTGACTCGATCATCCACAGCATTTCTTGAGCTCTCCCTATGTGTCTGGCAGCACAGTGAGCAAGGCAGGCACGGGACCTGCTCTCACGGAGCTTCCGTTCAACGGAGGAGGCAGAAATAAAGCAGGTTAAAGATGAATAAAGAAATATTGCAAATTATGCTGAGTTCTATGAAAGAAACAGATGGGACAGAGACATGTGTGTAGCGGTGGAAAGCAGAGACTAGTCAGGTCTCTACAAAGAGGTAGTTATTTGAGCTGAGACGTGAAAAGCAAGATCCGAGTGAATGATGTTCCAGGCAGAGGACACTGCACAGGTAAAGGTCCTGAGGCTGGAATGAGCTCGGAGGCACCTGAGGAACAGAGAGGAGGCGGGGGGGAGGGGAGAGTGGTGGGAGATGTCCAGAGGAAGGCCAGGACAGATCACATAGGCCAGGAAGCCATGCAAGAAGATCGGTTTCAGCTGACGGACCGTGGAGGCCCACAATGGTTTTGAGCAGCAGCCGAACATGGTCTGTGCGGCTGTTGTGTAGTGGGCGGGTGTGGGAGCAGAATACTGGTCAGGAGGCTGCAGAGGCATAATCCAATTTGTGACTGGATGACCCCCGGGCTCCTTCCTAGACCAGACTTCTGAGATGCAGCCCCGCAAGGCAGCTGGTGTGGGAGAACATTCTTTCTTCCAGAAAGACTCGACACCAATGGCGAAGCTCAATGAGGCTCCTGTCCCTCCTCTGTAAATCTACCAGGCCGCAGGGGGTCAGGGCTCCTCTCCATAGCACCTCTAGCCAGGCCCCTGGCTGCGCCTGGGCCTGCAAGTGATGGCCTAGGTCATCAGTGATAGCCACCCTTCCTCTGGCTGGACAGCGACCAGTGTAGAAATGACGGGACTTGGACTAGGCAGGTAGCAGTAGAGCCAGAGAGAACGGGAAGGGGAAGGAAAAGGGAGGTGTTGAGGGGACTCAGCCTGGGCAACTGGGGGTCAGGTGGTGTCATTTACCAAAAAGGGGAAGCCTGAGCCTGGGGTGTGAAGAAGAGTTTTGGGGGGAAATCACAAACTCTATTTTGTTAAGATGTCTGAGAGACATCCAAGTGGCAATGTGCAGTAGGTGGTGAGGAGTGTGTGTGTGTGAGTGCATGTGAGTGCATGTGAGTGCATGCGTGTGTGTGTGTGTGCGCGCGTGTGTGTGCGTGCGTGTGTGTGTGTGTGTGTCTGGAGCTTAGGGAGAGGTGGACTAGATATAGGAATGTTGGAGGCATCAGCTCAGCTCGTAGATGATGCTTGGGCCGTAGGACTGATGGAGACCAGCCAGGGAATCCACCGTAAAGAAAGGAAGAGGACCAAAGATGGGACCTGGACTCTCTGGCACACTTTGAGGTTGGGAAAAGGAGGAGGAGATAGGATAGGAGTCTGAAGTAGCCGCTAGTGAGGGGCGAAGAGAAGCAGGAAGCGGGGTGTGCTGTAAGCCAAAAGGGGTGAGTGTGCTGAGGGGGAGTGGCCATGTGGGACCACTGTGTGAGCGGCGTGAGCGGAGGCTGGACATGTGCCCCTTGGATTGGGCAACCTGGAGGCAGCGGAGCCCCTGGGGAGCGGGCAAATTCAGATGGGCCCGGGTGAAGAGTAACGGGGTGCAGAATGAGGAAAAGGTACAAAGCTCAGTCCTTCCCCCCCCAGTCTGGATGACTCGCATGTGTATGTATAAGCATACAAAAGTTCAAAATTAGCCAGATTAGCCTGCCTTGTCTATGGCTGTAAACACAGGCGGTAAAACTATAAAGAAAAGCAGCGGTTACGCTATGTAGCAGGCGAGCAGTTACCTCTTGCAGAGGGTTGGGGGTTGTGCCTGGGAAGGGGTATGTGGAAGCTTCTAGGGGCTGGCAGGGCCCTGCTTCTTGCTTTCATTAGCCAGTATCTATTTTTAAAAACAACTTTATCGAGGTATAATTTATATGCCACAAAATACACCCGTTTTAAGCCAACACCCAGTGATTTTTAGTAAATTGCCTTAGCTAAGCAACTAGCACCATCTAGTTTTAGAATGGTTCCAACACCCATCACCCCAACAAGCTCCCTCGGGGTTGATGACAGTCACTCCCCATTCCCACCCTCAGCCCCTGGCAACCACTAATCTGCCTTCTGTCTCCAAGGATTTGCCTTTTGTGGATATTTTAAATAAGTTCATCATACAATATGCGAAGTGTTTTTGTGTCTGATTTCTTTCACTTAGCATAATCACCCACTTTGTAGCATATATCAGTTCCTCATTTCTTTGGCATTCCCAAGAGTATTCCATGCTCCAGATACACCATAGTCTGTCTGTCTGTTCACTTGTCAATGGACACTTAGGTGCCTTCAACTTTGGGGCTATAATAAATAATGTGAACATTTGCGTTCCAGTCTTTTTGCGGACATACAGTTGCATTTCTCTTGGGGAAATTCCTCGAGGTGGAATTGCTGGGTCATATGGTGAATTTATATTTCTCTTTTTAAGAAACTGCTAAACTGTTTCTGCAAAGTGGCACCCCATGTCTTGACTTGCATGGTAGTTACACGGGGTCTCGCTTTATAAATTATTGGTTACATTGCTTATTTATACTTTTTCTGTATTTTGTTATATTTTATAACTTTGAAAGAGTTTAAAAAATAAATTTGGGGTGCTGAATGGAGTCAACTCTAGGAAGGTTTTCCAAGACAGACTGGACTTGGGGCTGCTGCTTCCGGGCTGCCTGGAGCACCATAGGGAACCAAATCCTACATAATCTTACGAGCTCGGTTCCTGGGCAGGTGTATGCAAAGCATGTGCCAATAAATGAGAACAGGCTAGGTCCTCCCAGGGTTTCCTCACCTGGGGGGTCTGTTTCCAATGGTTGTGACCAGAGTCGTGGGCATTCCCCTGGGCTTTGGGGTGCTGGGCTTAGGCACAGGTGACCTTCCTTTCCTGGGAAGGAGGGATGGAGGCTGTGGGCCCACAGGGGGCTGGGGATGATGTATCACCTGCTAATCCCTGTCCTGCTGAGGCCACCACTCTCCCTGATCTCCTTACGCTGACCCTGGATACTGGCCATGGCTAATCTCTGCCGCTGTAGCCCCAAGGGCTGGCGGGCAGGGCAGTGCCCTCTTCCTTGAAGTTTGCAGGTGGTGGGGGAGAGCCCTACCGGCTCACAGACACCACCTCATAGCAGGGCCTAGGATCCTGGCGTAACACAGATGGGAGCCTTGAGGCCCAGAGAGAGACAGTAACTAGTCTAGGGTCACACAGCCTGCTCTGGCCAGCCCTGGCATGGCCACTGCCAAGGCTCCCTGTCCGACATTTCCCAAAGCCCAGGAGACAGCAACTTTCAGGACAGCTGGAGTATGGGTGAGGGAGCAGTGCCCAGGACCCACAGCACGTGGTTGCTTGGTAGCTGGGGTTGCTGAGGGGTGTATGCCCTCACAATCAGGCTGCAATGGGCATTGTCTCTGCAGAATGTTGCTTTATTCTCCTACTCCCTCATAAGGCACCAGGGCCCAGCCTACCTCTCTGCCTTTTCTCCTCACTGAGCCGTTGGAAGAGCAGAAAATCCTTATAAGCCTGTGCACCTGGAGCCTGTGTCCGGCAGATGAGGTAGCCACTGTCTGCAGGTCAGGAGTGGCATGTCCTCTCTTCCCTCCTCTCGCTGCTCCGCTCCCTGGCCCTCCCCCTGCAGGCCCATCCCCCCAAGGAGTTCCCCGTGCCCTCTTCCTGCTCTTCCACTGCCCTAGGTCCCCACTCCTCCTGCCCACCTACCATCACCTCCCTCTCTCACTTCTAACCGGGGTCGGGAAGGAAGCAAGCTGCGTCAACAAATTCTCACTGAAGTTTAAATGGCTGAATGGCTCCTAGGGAATAACTGTTTTTTAAAGGATAGCACTGCGTAGCCATTTATCTCGTATTATTTATCTCTCTCTTTAAAACTTTTCTGTCTCCCTGTAGAATCGTGAGTAAATGCCAGAGACCTCAGCTAAGGCCAAAAGTCCATAACTAGTTACCCAGAGGCATTCTGAGCTCAATCTGAACCCACCTGCTGCTCATTATTTAAGAATAGACTCCAGTGTCACCTCTTTTAGACCATTCTCTGAATGTCCCAACCCCAGCCTCCCCAGACACACACACACACACACACACACACACACACACACACACACACACGGCCTGTACTAACCTCTGTCAGAGCCGGGAGCACATCCTGTGTGTGTGTTATGTCATCTGAATGTCTCTGCCATCACATGGGGAGCTCCAAAAAAACAGAACCTGGCACGAAGTAGGTGCTCGATAAATGTCAGACCAGTAGACAAATCCACACTGGCCAAGGCTGTGTTCCCACTTAGAAGGGTGTCCGGCTCAGGGCGAGTCCCTTCATACTCTCCGCTCCCCAGCCATGGCCCGCATCATCGACCTGGTGCCCTGCGAGGACGGCTCCGCCCACGTGTACGCGTCCCCCGCCATCCTGCTCCCGCTGGAGCGGCAGCGCAACCAGTTGGCAGGCGTGAAGCATCAGCTCTACCACCCGGCCCTGCCCAGCCTGCGTCGCATGGACATGGACTCTGTCAAGGCCTGCCTGACCGACGAGCACTGCCAGTCCACCACCTACTGCCGCAAAGGTCAGGCCGCCTCGCCTGCCACCGCCGGGGACCCTGCGAGCCTTTGGGGAAGGGGCGGACAGTTTCAAGGAGAGATATCTGGGAGGGAAAAGCCATGCGTGGCTGCTGAAAGCATTTCAGGGGTTGGTCCCAGCTCGGCTGCTCCTTATCAGGAAACCTGGTGAGGCCTGAGCCTCCCTTTCCTTATCAGTAAAGTGGGGGTGATAAAGGGACCTGCCTCCCCAGGCTAGTGTGAGATTAAAAATAAGGCCGGGAAAGCACGTAGAGTAGTGCCTGGCAAGAATAGAGCACATTATACATCCTTATTGTTGTTATTAATGGAGAAAGAACAGCGCAGAGGTAGTTGCAGCAGCAGGAGTAATAATAATAATAGTAAGAACTTCCACCCAATCATCTCTCTACCTGGAGAGGGAAGAGACAGACCCTCCTCACATCTCCCATGTATGAGAGGTGGACGTGACCCAAGGAATCGCCCTTCTCAGGTCAGGAAGCTTGGGTGTGGAGGTGGGGGTGCCACACAGATACACACGTGCATTCCGGCGCATTTATGAAGCACCAGCTTTTGTGGTGGACACTGTGCTGGGTCCCCAGGGAAACAAAGGGTGTTGCAGCCGTATGGAACAGCATTTGCAGAGGCATGGAAGGGAAAAGCTACGCAGGGTGTTGGGGTGTGGCGGCCCGGGAGGAAAAGGTGTGTGGGGGCAGCAAGAGCATTCAACGGCACAGCTCAGGACGGCCCTGGTGCCGTAGCCCAGGGGCCCGGGATTTCTCAGGAGGGAAATAGGAACCTCTGAAGACTTTAAGCAGAAAAGAGGTCTGAGCACTGTCGGGGAGGGGCGTGGAGGAAGGACTGGAGGTAGATAATGCGGGGTGGGCGTGGTTAGGACACTGGGAGGGACCACAGTCTTTAGAATTAGTGTGTCTTGGCCACTGGCAAGGGTTTTGAGAGATGTTTAGGAGATAAAATAACAGGATTTGGTACCAGTGTGGGTAGGGGGCCAAGATGGGAAACACAAGTACTGAAAGCGGGTGAGGAAACAGAGGAGAGGGAGGGGCGCAAGGTGAAGTAGAGCCCCCCACACCTACCCCTCCTCAGGGAGCAGCTACTGCTGTGTGGGGAGGGTCCACACAGCCATCAGATCTTCCAATTTCCTAACTTCTCTTGGAATGTAGGTTTTTAGGGAAAGCTCATTCTTGATTTAGATGTGTATTTTATTGCAATTATATGCGTTAATAAAATTAACAGTCACAGGTTTAAAATTCGAAAGGCCGTAACAATGTACATTTAACAAGTCTTGATCCTCCCTCCCCTACATCCACTTACAGCTAACTAGTTTTAGTTTCTGATGTATCCTTTCATTGTTTACTATTGCAAATACAAACATGTATTATTTTGCTCACCGACTTTTTATTATGATCATATTCAAACACAGGAAAAGTTGAAAGACTAATACTATGAAAACTCATTACCTTTCACCTACTTCAATTAATATTTTGTTGTATTTGTTTCTTCTCTCTCTCTTTCTCACACACACACACACACACACACACACACACACACACTTTAGCAAGCAGCTCCCAATGAAAAGAACAACCTCCTACATGACACGATACCATTACCACATTTATGAAAGTCAACAATAATTCCATAACATCTAAGATTCAGTCCATATTAAAATATTCCCCAATTACCCCAAAAGATGTCTTTTATAGCTTAAAAAATTGGGGGGGCGGGGGACTTGGATTCAATGTAGGATATGCATTGCTTTTGGTTGTTATGTCTCTTTAGTCTTAGCCTGAAACAGTCTACCCACTTTCCATTTTTCCCTCATAATACTGACTTTTTAAGAGTTCAAAACAGTTATGTTGTAGACAGTCCCACACTGTAAACTTGAGTGTTTCCTTATGATACTGCTTACCTTGATAATCTAGATAATCTTACCTTCTGTAAACTAGAAACTAGGTATAGGGACGTCTTTAGCAGGATAAAGCATCACTGGCCAGAATCTTCTTTCAGAGATGATGGATGCCATGTTTGCCATAGCTTCAAGAGGAGGCACAGAATGTCATTGTCTCACTATTCATGATACTGAATTAGAAGACTTGGTTAAGGTGGTGACCTAAACGTATATTCTTTTCTGCCGCCATTCGTCTCAGTTTCAGGCTTTAAAGCAAAACGTAGCATACGGCATACACTCTTCTGCACGTTAGATGATTGTGTGTCGAGAACTTCCTCTATTTACTTTCGATAGCTGCATATTGAGGATGCATCATAGTTTATTTAACCAGTCCTTTCATGTGGGACACTTGAGTTGATTCCAATCATTTGCTATTACAAACAACCTTTGAAAATGGGTAAATCTCCCCACATCATTTCCCAGTCGTGCAGCTGTAAAATAGAATAAATGCCCAGAAACAGGACTGTGTGGTCAAAAGTTATGTGTATTTGTAATTCTGATAGATATTGCCAATTGCTTTCCATAGGCTTGAATCGATTTTACCCCCTCTGGTAATGTATGGCAGTGGCCTTGTTTCCAATAACTGTGCTAACTTTTGGATTGTTTCCAATCTGATGGGCAAAAACTATTATCTTAATGTACTTCGAATATGCATTCGGCTATTATGAATGAGCTTGAGTGTCTTTTCATGAGTTTAGGGGCCATTCGTATTTCTTATTTGTATCTGAACTACCTGTTGTTTACCCATTTTTATCCATTTTTTCTCTTTTTCTTTTTGGTCTTGATTTCTAGGGCCCCATTCAATAATAGGGAAATTGCATCTCATCTGTAAAATAAGTGGAAATGTTTTTCCCATTTGTCTTTTAACTTCTCTTGCTTTTGCCATGCAGAAGTTTGTTTTTATGTAGCCAAAGTTATCTAACTTTTCTTTAAGGCTACCAGACTTTGAATTAGAGTTGGCGCGGCATTCCCCACCCCAGTATTGTAAAAGAATTTACTCATGTTTTCTTCTAGTATTTCTATGGTTTCTTTTTTCTTTACAGTGAAATGTTTGTTCTATTTGGAGTTTTATTCTGTCGTAATGAGTGGAAGTAAAAATCTACTTTATCTTAGATTTTTTAAAGTTGTCAAATATTTCAAAAAAAATTTTTAAAGCAATGCGGGCCAAACCTCTCCTGTATGAGCCTGTGACTACTGGTGTAGAAGATACCTCTTCTCCCTTTCTCTTCCTTCTTCAGATGACTTCGACAACGCATACTTCACACTCCTCGGCGTCCCCAACAAACCCCTGCAGTGCTTGGTGAGCGTCTTTTGCCCCGCCCTGGTTTTGCTCAGGGGCAAGAGCCAAGGCCCCTCCTGCGCCCAGCCCCTTAGCACCTCGGTCGCGGGCTCCACTCTGTGCACTTCCTCGTCTGCTGCCTTGGGACCCCTCCCGCTTCCCTTCTCCGTCAAGGGCTTCAGGCGCTCCTAGGTCAGATGGGACGGATGTCAGCTCCGGATTCTCGGGTGGTCTGGGTCGGCCCCCCGGGCTTCTGCACCTACCCCCGCGGCCCTGACTCCCATCGCCCTGGCAGGACATCACCGCGGCTGGCCAGAGGCTCCGCGGCAGATGCCGCCAGGGAAAGCTGGCGCCCATCGCGCCGGGCATCAACCGAGTCGACTGGCCCTGCTTCACGCGCGCCATCGAGGACTGGTCCCATTTCGTGTCGTCGGCCGGCGAATTCAGGCTGCCCTGCCCGAGCAAGAAGGGTCAGTCCACCGGGCGCGGAGGGTGCCCTGGGTGGGGAGAAGTAGCCGGGCCCCTGAAAGCTGGTTGCGGACTGGGGAAGGGTGCGGGGGGCATCAGGGGTGGACTCCGGTAAGGACACAGAGAGGAAATTGGAGATCAGTGGGGACACATAGAGCGGAAGGGGCTGAGACAGATCGGGGGACATAGAGGCGGGTCTCATCTTGGGCAGACGGCGGGAGCCAGGTCCCGGCCAGGAGCCACTGGGGCGGAGGCTGAGCACGGGGTTGGTTCTGCAATCCGCGGAGCAGGGTCTGAAGGCGGCGCCTGTTCTGGCGGGGGAGTTGGAGCTGGACCGACTCTAGGAGCAGGTGTGGGCGGGGCTTGATGTAGGGGCGGGGCTCAGGTAAGAATGGGGCGAGGTTTGTTCCGGGCGTGCGGAGGGCCCGACGTCTGCGCTTTCTCCACAGTGGAGAGTTTCAGCGGCTACGCAGTGCGGTACTTGAAGCCGGAGGTGACCCAGAACTGGCGGGTAGGGAGGATTGCGCTCTGACCAGTCCCCGGGGGCCCGGCGGGGTGGAGGGGAGGAGCGGCGAACAGGGAGTGGGGCGTGGGGAGGAGACGAAGGGCAGGGTCTCTCAGTTCTCAAGGCCAAGATCTCCTGCAGCGAGCGTGGTGTGGGGCATGGGCACGGGTACGTGAACCCCCGGCTCACGGACTCCCCCATCCCTTTGGCCCGCCCCAGTTCTGTCTCAGCCAGAACCCCAGCTTGGACCGCTACGGACAGAAGCCCCTGCCTTTCGATTCTCTGTAAGTGACGCCACAGGCCCGGGGTCCCCACACTTGAAGGAGGGAGGGGGGTCTCGGCCGCTTTCCCCAGGGCACACCTAGTGGCCCTTGAAAATGTGAAACCTGGGATGAGTTGGTTGGCTTCCACACACCACTAAAAAAAATGCAATTTCTAAATGAATAAATGATTAACTCCTACCAAACGGAGCGCCCTGTTACCCAGTGCCTGGCAACTTCATCGTTTCGGGGTGGAGGCGTTTGGGTGGGACGAAGGTGCAGTGTAATCCTTCTTGGTGGCATGACGTCTCCTGAGATGGGAGTGAAGGTCCTGGAGAGGGTCGCGCCTCCCTACCTCGGGGTCACCCTCCTCCCCCTTTCACAGGAACACTTTCCGACGCTTCGGCTCCCACTACAGGTAGGAGACTGATCCCGCCCCGCCCCGCCCCGCCCCACACCTGGCCAAGTGCCTGTCGGGCCGCGACCCTGTCATCTCCCGCTCCTGGGATTCTCAGACCCCGCTCCGCTCGCGGGGCCTCTCGAGGCAGCCCCCAGGGCATTGGTCCCCTCCCGGGTGATGTTAGAGGGCGAAAGCTGCTTTCTTCCCCACAGATCCACACCAGGCAAAAGCGCAGCCTACTGGGAGGTGGGAGCTGACAGCTCGTCCCACTCAGTCTGGCCTAGGTGAAGCCAAAGCGGGGAGTGGGACCTGGGAGGAGAGCAGGGTCCACAAGAGTAAACAGACATACGAGAAACATGACGGGAAAAGCCAAGACCGCCTTTCAGGATGTGGAGAGGTGGTAACAGCTGGGGCTAGTGGTCCCAGCTGGAATGTGCAAGATACTCAAGCATCTTCATAGCATGGCGGTCACCCACCTCTCCAGCCCCGTTCCCTACCCTCCAGCAGTCTCCTGGGTGCGACCCATACCACCAGCACAAGCAAGCACTCTACACCTTTGCTTGTGCCGTTTCTGCCGGAAAGCCTCCTCCTCAGTTTTTAAAGCCTAGCCCAGATCCTGCTCGAAGTCTCCTGTGACCCTCTGCCTCTCCCCTCCAGTTAGTCACCGCACGTGCATCCCTGTTTGGTGGCACACAGACTACTGCATTATCATTACTGATGGAAAGCTCACCTTCTCTCACGCACTCTGCACACGCAGGGGACCGCTTTCCGGTTTTTTACTGCTATATAATACCTGCCGGAGTAGGTTCACTAAAGAACTGAAAAATGAGTAAAGCAGGGCATGGTTGGGGATCGAAGGGCGATAAAGATGAGACAAGCTGGAAATGGGGGCTTGAAAGACAAGCAGAGCAGCTGAAAATATAGAAAATAGGGAGCCATCGAGGGCTTTTGAGCCATAGAGAGAGAGACAGGGTGGAAGCTGTGTTTTCAGAGCCTTGAGGGCAGGTAGGGGGGTTTGGGGAGTGGCCTAGAGAAGGACAGTCTGATTTTTCCCCAGGATTTCCTGGAGGCGCCCACCTCCCCTGTTTCTCTCCACAGTCGTTCCAATTACCTGACCCCCTGGCATTAATCTGTGAAGAGGAGGCCAACCTCCAGGCCGATGGACCATGCCATCTCAGGTTCTCCAGACGGACAGAGGGTGCACGGTGGCATTACCCGTTTCCCTGTGAGTTCAGCCTGACTGGAAATAAACCTAATGCTCCTAGAAGGGGGCACCAGGCGTGCGTGCGTGTGTGTGTGTGTGTGTGTGTGTGTGTGTGTGTTATAAGGGCTTTGAGGACCTCAAGATGATGATGTTTTATCCATACCTGCCTCCTACCAAATCCTGGAAGACTGGTGGTGGGAGAGAAAGACATCTGATGACCCCAGGTAGACAGTCAGGATCCAGTTGTAGGTGGGTGCAGAGGCAGGCCTGAGAATTGGGTTTTCCTTGTGCCCCTGTCCCCTGTTTGCAGCCCCACAACTAAGCCTCCTGTCTGAAACTCTGAACTTGACCCTTAAAGAGAAGAGAGGGAATTCAAAAAGGATTTTTAGACACCTCTCTCAGAAGCCTTGGCCACAGCAGTGTACTCTGGGGGGCTTCCCTGGGCCCAGGGTCCCCTGAAGAGGTGGAAGTGGACTCTGAAAGGCTGATCAGGCCTGTGGCCTTTATTTCCTGTGAAGCAGCATGGTGTGGAAGTAAGAGGAGGCCTGAGGCCACTCGGAAAAGAAAGTTTCCTGCTCCGCAAGGCAGGAATGAACGTATGATGTAAGTGAAAAGCTGTCTGCTCTGTCTGCGTGGCTTCAGGACCAGCCCTCATCTGCGCGCCAACCTACAGAAAGGAAGGCATGATGTCCTGGGGACAGCCATGGGCACTCCCGGGCCAAGTCTGGAACAACCCCACCTCAAAGACACTAAAGAAGCGTGTCTCTGGCATCGTTACAGGGTTAGAGCGACAGCACCAGCCAGAGAGCTCCCAGACCTGGCAGATATCCCAACCCCGCTCCACCTGTGGGCAGTCTGCAAGAACAGACCCAAATCGGCGAGATAGCCGCCAAGCTCAGGAACTGTTTAAACAGGACTTTCCAGTTCTAGGATCTGGGGCTTCAGGAGTCCATGAACCTTTTGAAATCGTGTGCAAAACCGTGTGTCCACCCACGTGCGCACTTTCCATGAAAGACTTCTTGTTTTCGACTGATTCTCAGGAGAGTTGGTGCCTTCAAATGTTAGACAGCCCTGACTCACACCCGCTTCCTCCCCTTCCACTAATATTTACTGAGCACCTAGTGCATGCAAGCCAGGTCTCAGGTGGAAGGAATTTAAAGAGTAATACCAGCCCCTCACTTCTGGACCCTGTCTTATACTGTTTAGAACACATTATCATGTGACCCATGATCTCCATGCCTCGTACCCCATAAGCACCTTGGAAAGTGAGCAGAACTAATGCTACCCCCATTTACAGATGGGAAAACTGAGGCCCAGACCCGGGTAATAGCCTCTGGCCAAACCCAGAACCCAGCACTCAAAGTGAGTCCCAGCATTTGACAGTGTTTGCATATAGTTGGTGCTCAACATTTGTAGAATAAATTATTTCCCAGAATGGGGGTCTTTTGTTCAACCTTGGGTGATAAACAAGGTAAGGTGTGGTGGTGTCTGATATGCAGACTTAGCCTGCCTTACACACTCAAGGCTGATTTTAATTTCTTTTAGGGGTGGAAGTGATGATCATTACCCTTATATCAAGGTGAGGGACAGTGGTATCTGTGTCTTGGTCTTTAAGTATGGGGCTCTGATGACAACAGGGCAGGAGACAAGCGAGGTGGAAAGCAGACAGGAAGTGGTAGTGGATCACAGAGCCCCTTCCACCTTGGGGCCTTGTCGAGGAGGTCCCCAGCCTTCCCCTATTTTATGCAGGAGGAAGCCCTTTCCTCCAAGCCCAGCTTGAACCTAGGAAGCCATTGGCATACCCCCTAGGGTGTCAAGGGCACATTCTGCAGGACTGTGTGTCCCCCTCCAACATGCCAGCTCAGAGAAGAGATGGATTTGTCCAAGCCTCACAGCAGAGATGCTGGAATCCTGGCCTGCATGAGCCTGGGGACAGCCAGAGAGCTCCAGAGAGCATGCTGAAGCATGCCAGAAGGAATCAAGTGCCTGAAAGTTTTTTCCTGGTCCTGCTTCCTTGACATTGAATGACTGCCCAAGTCCGTCCAAGAATTTGGCTCAGCAGACATTTGAGGCTTTGCCGGGCCCCATGTTGGAGGGTCAGAGACCAGATGCCATCCCTGCCTTTGAGGCACTTTCAGTCCAGCAGGAGAGAAGCAGGCCGAGCTGATTCAAACCCGAAAGCAGAAGGCGAGAAAGCGGGTACAGCTAGACCATGTTCTTCAAGTCCAAGGGCTGTGAGTGGTGACCCACACCAGCAATTTGAATATGTTCTTGCCCACCAGTTGTACGTTGAATCCTGATGTCAGAGATATGAACATGTGTGCCCAAGAATAAAGAAAATGCAGAGTAGACGAGCATTAACAAGCCTGATTTAGTATGCACTTTCTATTACATGCAAGGCAATGTTTCAAGCCCTTTGCAGGCACGATTATCCGTGAGGTGGATAATTGTAGGCCCACTTTGCAGATGATGTAAGGAGCTCAAGGAGGTTTAGGGACTGCCCCAAGGTTACACGTGCTGGGAAGTGAAGCCAGCCTGCCTGCCCCCGAGCCTGTGGCCACCACACTCTACTACCTTCGTGCTATGAGAGATGCAAGCCAAGAGTGGGGAGGAAACCTGAGGAATCTCTCTGGGGTGAGGACATTCGACCAAGGCTTAGAGGGAGGAGCTATGCCACCAGAAACTCTCGTGAAGTTGCTGGCGGTGGCAGTCTGCAAGTTGAAAATCTCACCCAGAAGCCAAGAGGTGGAAAGAAGCTCCATCCCCATCCAGCTGGACCACTATCTCCTGGCCTCGAAGTCCCCTGAGCTTCAAGGGGCTCTTATTCATTATAAATAAATCACATTAGAAATCCTCCCAGTGGCCACTGCCTTGGGGACAGCCCAGCCTTCACAGCCTCAACTCCAGGCCTTCCTGGCCTGACCCCAAATCCACTACCCTGGCCTGGCCCAGGACATATAGCTCTAACGCAAACCCCACCACCAGGCTCTTGTCTGCTTCCTAACCTTTGTGCGAAGCCTTCCTTCCCCCTGAAATGCTTTCCCCATTTCTTCCTACCCAAATCCCACCCTTTCTTCCAGGCAGGCCTCTTTTAAGTCCCCCCTTCTCACCCTATTCTTCTCCAAAACTGCAAGAACAGGGACCGTAGCTGTTTCAGAGGGGCTAATTCCTGGCCTCTGCTCTAAGGAAATACCACTCTTCTCTTTTCTAAGTAGACCTGAGACTCAGGAATGGCTCCTGGGCCCTCCCAGAACCCACACATACACATCCGGACTAAATAAAACAATACTACAAAGAAATAGTTGTGTTTATTACAAAGTAACACACAAAACACATCTTCACCCAGAGCCTGGGGCTGGCAATGGGGGAGGATCAGGGAGGGGGTGAGGATCCTATCTGAGGGAGGGGTGAGGTGAGGGTCACGGAGAACTCTCGCAGGTGATATTTTGTACTAAATATCAGCAGCTTTGACATTTTTGACCCTACCTTTTGATACATGAAAACCTCAAAACTCATCTGAAGTTATGGCTCCATGGCTGCAGCATCAGCTCAGTGTGTGGCAAACAGCAGGTGCTCAGTAATGCTTATGGATGAGCAAAGGCAGCAATGCAGACCTGGGGTGGGGATGGACACACACACACACACAGTGATAGGGAGAACTCACAGGCCCCCTCCCTCCCTTTGACCTGCTTTTCAGGGCCCTGTTGAGGACAGGGTATTCCAACCAGAATCTTTCTAGATTTGCAGAAGATCAGTAGCAGCCAAAGCTTTTCTTGGAGGCATGACCTAGGAACAAAGAAACTGCCTGCTTGAGGATGGGACATGGAGCTTATCACAGGGAGCCTGGGCTGGGAGGCCCTGGGCAAAAGTCCAAGGCCAGAGCAGACCCTGGTCCTGTCTGAGGCTCTTCTGGAGGCGAGACTGAGTGGGGGTTGGGAGGTCAGGATAGTGGACTAGAGACGGAGAGACGGGCCTCCATAATGGTGCCTGCAGAGGCCTAGGTTCTTTATGGAGATGCCTCTGCACAGATGAGAAGACAAAGCAGAGGAGATTCAATCCCTCAAGGAACTGACAGCAGGCCAGAGAGCTGGCTGCCCGTTCTGCCAGATCCAGTGCTCACACCATTCCCGGCCATTGTTCCAGACTTCCTGGTCAGCAAAGAGTGGGTTGAAGCTAGAGCCCCAGGCTGCAGTGGCTGGAGCTGGAGGCCTGCGAAGTTCAGAGCCCAGGGCTATCCTGGCCCCCACTGCCCACCCCCAACCTATCCCACCTGGCAGCCCCCACAGTTCCAGGCCACCGCTATCACTAACCATATGCCTTTGGGCAGCTCCTGGACTTCTCGAGGGTCAGCACAAAGGGAAGGCTCAGGTCTGCCCTGCCCATCTCATCGGGATGGATGGTGCGAGGAGCAGAGCAGCTGGTGGACGGGAGAGTCTCGTGAACGAGGTATCAGAGGTGGGGTAGGGAGAGGCCTGGCGTTCGGATGGGAGAGCCGGGCGGGCTCCCTCCTGCCTCTGCCCTTCCGGTGCTCCGCTTTCCTGAGCAGCCACTACGTGCCGAACAGCCCGCGCAGTTCATTTCACTGTGCCCTCAGGCCAGAAGCGAGCAGTACTGGATCCATTTCACAGATGAGGAAAATGAGGCTCAGAGATGTCCAATGCACAAACCGTCCGTCCCAAGCCTTGTCACTGATGAGTGGCAGAGGCAGGACTCTAGCCTGATCTGACTGTGGCGCTCTTAACCGCGACACCATGCCATGCCACCGTGGCTCATGAGCACAGGCTCCACTCCCGGAGAAGAGGGTCCCCTCCTACTGTCCCCCTGCAGGGCCGAGCACAGAGCCAGCCACACAGTGGGAGTTTGACAAAGCTGCCAGGATGATGGGCTCCCCGGGAAAGCTGTCTTTGGTGGCCCAGCCTGCCCCAGCAACAACTTTTAGAACCTGTGAGAATGCCCTCACCCCCACTCAGTGCAGCGCCTCTTTGCCCCTGCCAGGGGCAATTACTGAATTACTAACTCCAAAATGTGAAGTTTATGCCAGCCTCTTCCTCTTGTTCCTCCCAGCTCTGGCTCTCATCCAGATGTCGCCCTTCACCCCAAGTTACCACCCTGTTGCTGTCCTGTCAGTGGTTGGAGCAAAAGGAATGATTATGCAGAGATTAAAGAGGATAGCATAAGTCTGTACTCCTCGTGACTTGTCTGAAGTTCCCCTACGACAATGCTATGCTCTGAGAGGGAGAGTCACATCAGATACGGAACAGGAAGCGGTGGGGTTCCTGGGCAGGCAGGTGGGAGAGGTACCTGTGTGTGGCCAGGTGCAGTGGGCAGCTGCTTAAGCCAGTTTGTGCTGTTCCTGTCCCTTAACAACCAAGAGACCAGACTCAGACAGGAGGGGAGAAGACAGGAGAGGTAGGAGGGGAAAAGGAGACGTGGGTTGATCCTATGACCTTCCCCAAACCAGAGCATCAGGTCTCTAAGGACCTCAGAGATCAGGAGTCACGACCTCTGCTTCAGATGTAGGATCGAGGCCCCAAGAGGGGCAGAGAATTGCCTCTGGTCACTTGTTATCAACGGGCTAGGATATGAACATGAGCCACCCAGGCTCTGCCCTGATTTTTGCCCAGGCTGGAGTGCAGAGGCTGACGGCTGGGTGGGAGCTGTAGGAGCCCCTCTGCTTTGTGAGGAGAGGTAGTTAGTTGTGGGGACAAAGGAAGAAAAAGTCGTTGTGGGCTCCATGTTGAGCTTAGCTATGCCCAGCCAGGGCCCCTCCTACTTCTGGCACACACAGACCATCATCCATTCAGGAAGGGCATCCTGAAGCTATAAGGTACCAAACACATGCCAATGCTTCCTGGGTTTTGCCTAAGGTCACTCAGCTGGAAGGGAAGCTGGGGTTTGTGCCTGGCACAGACACGAGGGGCCCTGGGTGTCCTCTTACTGAGCGGTGGCCACCTGCAGGAAGGAACCATGTGGCTTCTCAAGGGTGGGGTCCTAGAGGTGGGGTGGCAACACACAGAGGGAATAAGAGTGTGGGGTCTGCATCACATCTGAGGTCCCCCAGCCTTTCCGCTAAGCCTCCTGCACTGTTTTGAGCCCCTGCGGCGTGGGCAGTTCCCTGTGCTCTTGATTTTCCACCCTCGCCCCCCTGCATTCCACCCAGGGCACCTGCTGACCTCCCTCCACTGGCTCTCAGATGCCCAGACCCAGGGAGGTTGTTTCTCCCTCTCTCTCCCCACCCCCACCCTTGCCTTTGAGAAACAAAGGCGCCTGAGTCACAGTTGGCCCACTGGGAGACAGAGGGGGGGTACAAGAGAAAAGGGGTGTAGGAGGGCTGAGCTGGGAGGCCAGGGCTGGTTGGGCAGACGGATTGTACGTGACAGGGAGCATGAAAGTGAGCAACAGCAGGTGATTCTCGGGGGCAGGGCCTGTCTGGCTGGGTCCACTGCTGCTCTGGGCAGGCCCTGGTTTTCCACTGGAGCTGAGCAAGCTCTCATGCTTACCAGAACCACTCCGTTTCTGACCATTCATGAGCTGCTGGTCCCTCATGGCCCAGCTCCCTTTGCAGGGACCGTGGTTAAATCCCAAAGAGGTCCAGAGGCTGCAGGACCATTTCCAAGGGTCCCAGGTGTCCTGTAGTTAGTATTGTCATCATCTTCACAGTTTCCCCACCACGGCCGCCATACATGGTTCCATTTAATGCTCACCACGGCCGAGCAAGACAAGGGTTAACCTCCCCATTTTACAGATGAGGCAACTGAGTCCCAAAGAAGGAGTTCCTACAATGACTTGCCCAAAGTCGCACAACCAGAATATTCAAAACTCAGGATTTGAACCCACTCTGTGTCCCCAGTCCCGAGCCTGATACCTGGTCTGCACACCCCACTCTCCCTCTCCACGTCCCATCAGCCCCCTGTGGAAGAATGACCAGAACACGCGGTGCTTTGGTCTGTGATGGTCAATGTCTTTACTTCTAAAGCATACATTGGACTCACTATATATTAACATCAAAAGGGGCTATCTAAAATGGAGTCATTCTTTTTAAAAATCCAAATTCTCGCTTTTATATAAGATCCAAAATGACATGAAATTAAACTATACAATGTTATGAATAGTATAACAACTGCTTTTAGAAAGCAAAATGAAAAGAAAGAATTAGCAGTTGGGACTGTTGTCAGCCTGGGGTCCATGTCTTTTGAGGCATTGAGACTAAGAGCCAGCACCAAGGGGTAGGACCTCTCTGCAGGCATAGGAAAGGAACCCAGTCAGATGCAGGAGACAGATGTGCACTTCTCAGATTTCTTAAGGTGAGACTCGGCCAAGGCAGGATTCCCTGCTCCTCTGCGCCCCTGCACTGATTAAAGTCTTCTTTTAAGATCCATGACCACTGAAGGGGGCTGGAAGAGGAAAGGGGCCGAGCTGGGTTCGAATGATTATTTTGATACTATATGTCCCCTGGGCTTCTCAAGGAGTGTGCCGGCCATCCAGTGACATCGGTCAACTCTGTCCACCTACTAATTTCTTAACAACCCTCTTCCCTTGCCTGTTCCCTGTGCCCTGAATACCCTCAGCCCTGTGGATAGCCAGAGACTTGGGGGACCCTAAGAAGACCCAAGGGAGCATTCTCTGGCCTTGGAAGTAGCTGGATGTCGTCCGTGCCATCTTGGCAATGAGAGATCCCTGGGGCCCAGGCCAGCGGCCAGCCTGATGGGGGAGGGTTCCCATGGGCTGAGAGGGCTCTGTGTGGTCAGAGGCCATTCACACAGTCCTTTCGCTCACCCCACCCTGGGTCCCCAGGCCTGGTTTTGGTCCTGAAGCAGGGCTGGGAGTTGATTGGGGCCACGCCCTTGACACTTTGGTTCACACAATTCAGGGAGCGGGACACCACTGTCCACATCCACTGGGAAGATCACGGGCGTGGCCCAGCTTCCTCCCAGGCACCAGGTGGTCTAACAATCCCCTTCTCGCACATCTGCATTCTGTCTGGCTGAGAGCACAGTTCCTGGCTGTGGAGCTTGGAACCGTGCTGCTATCACGGTGCAAAGGCTGTCCCTGTCCTGCTGGGCGCCGTCCTTGGCTGCGTGTGTCACAGAACTTCTCTGCCCCCGCCCTTCTGGCTAGGCCAACTGCTCTCCCGGCAGACCAAGCCCACAGAGGCGTACAGAGCCCTCCTGTACGCCTCACCTGTCGGAAACCTGGAGGATGCATCGCTGCTCTCCCGGCAGACCAAGCCCACAGAGGCAGCCCTCCCGTACGCCTCACCTGTCGGAAACCTGGAGGATGCATCTCCCTGGCTGGAGCAGACACGGAGGCCTGTGGCTCACGGTCTGCCCTCCTGGTCCCCAACACTACATGGAGAAGCCGGCCTTCTCCCTCAAACAGCAACTCGAAGGGGGATGCCCCACATCCAGCCCACCTTTGGGGTCCAGCCCTTCTACGGGTCCTATCATGACCATCCTCTTTCCTAACCCATCTGGTTCTAATCAGGCTAAGATGTTTGGGAAGGTTGGGCTGGCACCAACGCCTTCTTGGGGTCGAGAAAGGCCACTTGACTTCCAGTCTGGTTCCAGGCCCCCAGAGACAAGGAAGGGTGATGGCTCTCAAGAAAGCAAATCCTGTAATGGGAAAGAGGTTTGTGGAATCAGGACCAGTCACAGCAATCTGGCTCCTCCGCCTGCCCGGTGCCCTTCTGTCCTCAGACACAGGACCTCGGAACACATGAGCGGTGTGGAGACTTAGTACAAGGAGGCGAGGCTGGGCCTGGTGGCGGCCACTGTGGAGACTCAGGGCAGGCAGGCGGCTACCTGGTAGGCGCCCTCGGCGGCGGCGGCAGCGGCGCTATGCTGTGCACTGTGCTCCTGCAGCAGCGCCACGTCCAGGAAGCGCTCGCCGCACCACACGCACTTGAACTGCTGCTCGCGGGCGTGCACGCCCTGGTGTTTGTTGAGATGCTCGCGCTGCTTGAAGGCCTTGTCGCAATTGGGGCACTTGTAGGGCTTCTCGCCAGTGTGCACACGCCGGTGCCGCTGCAGGTCCGACGCGTACTTGAAGCGCTTCTCGCAGTCCGGGCACTTGAGCGGCTTCTCGCGGGCCGGGTCGCAGCGGTGCTGCACGAACTCAGAGGACGAGAAGAAGCGGCGCTCGCACAGGGTGCAGCGCAGGGGCTTCTCGGCCGCCGAGCAGTGGGCCAGCTGGTGCTTCTGCAGGGCCGACGCCCGCTTATAGGCCTTGTTGCACACCGGGCACTTGAAGGGCCGTTCGGCGGCGCCGGGCAGGCACTTGTGCCGCAGCAGCTCGGCCGACTGGTCGAAGCCCTTCTGGCACATGGGGCACTTGAAGAGGGTCTCCAGGGTGTGCACGTGCTGGTGGTAGAGCAGGTGGCTGGGCTGCCCGAAGCCCTTCTCGCACAGGCCGCACTTGAAGGGCTCCTCGGTCTTGTGCGTGCGCCGGTGCCGCATCAGTGCGTACTGCTGCTTGAAGCCCATGGGGCACAGGTCGCACTTGAAGGGCCGCTCGGCGCTGTGCGTGCGCTCGTGCTGCCGCAGGTCGGAGGGCCGCTTGAAGGCCTTCTGGCACTCGCCGCAGCGGAAGGGCCGCTCGGCACTGGGCATGCACGGGTGCTGCAGCAGCTCCGATGACTCCTTGAAGTGCAGCTCGCACACGTTGCAGCGGAACAGGTGGTGCTCGCCCGAGTGCGCGTACATGTGGCGCACCAGGTGCGAGCGGTGCTTGAAGGTCTTCTCGCAGACGGCGCACTTGTAGGGCCGCTCGGAGCTGTGCGTGCGCTTGTGGTGCACCAGGTGCGACGACTGGCTGAAGCTCTTGTCACAAAGCGTGCACTTGTACGGCTTCTCACCCGTGTGGATCCGCTCGTGCCGCGACAGCTCCGACAGGTGCTTGAAGGGCTTCTGGCAGATGGGGCAGCTATAGGGTTTGTCAGGGGGCGACAGCGGGGGGTGGGGGAGCTGGGGGCAGCGAGGCGGCAGCAGTGGCCGCTGGCTCGGCCACCTCGGCGGGCTTGTAGGTCTTCTCACAGATAGAACATTTCACAAGGCCACCGGTGCCAGTGTGCGCACTGTGGTGCTGCGCCAGTGAGGTGAGCAGCGAGAAGCCCATCTTGCAGACGCCGCAGACAAAAGGCTTCTGCTCAGCCTGCACACACTGGTGCTCTAGCAGGTCAGTAGCCTGGTGGAATATCTTGAGACACTGTGTGCACTGGAATGAGCGGTCGTGACCCGCCAAGCACTGGTGTTCATGCGGGCTGGACAGGTGTGCCAGGTCGTGACCGCACACCCCGCACTTGGCGCCCGGCTCACCTGCTGCCTGCAAGGGCGCGTGCTGTGGGGGCTGCAGGCCCGGGTCAGGCTGCAGGAGGATGCCATAGACCGCACAGCCCAAGGGGTTCTCAGCCGTGCCTGGGGGCAGCGCATGCTCGCCTAGGGCCGGAGGTGGTTCTGCGTGGTGCTGTGGTTGCGATGGCTGCGGCTGCTGCGGCTGCGGCTGTGGCTGCGGCTGCGGCTGCGGCTGCGGAGGCTGCGGCCAGCTTTCCGACATGCTCGGGAAGATGAAACAGGGTTTGGAGAGTAATGGCTTCAGTTTCCCTGCTTAAGATGACCCAACCCAGAGAGAGAAGCTGCCCACGATCGGGGATGGACAAGGACCTCAGACAAGGCACAGAAGAGGGCTGGTCAGACGGCCCACATCATTAACTATGACAGACTACAAGGCTCTGCCTACAGGACAGGGGCTCTTCGAGGCAGCGTGCCCGCAATGCCAGGGAGGGTCTGCCTTCCCCGATGATGGGTTCTGTAGAGAAGAGAGAAATTGTGAGATTAAGGCAGAGACACACAGCTATTCCTGGGGCCCTCTCCCTGCTGTGTCTGCAGTGGCCACACTGACTGCCATAAGCCACACCAGGGAAGGCAGAGAGGCGCACGGCTGGGAGATCTGCTCCCTTCACACACTACCAAAGAAGTCTGCTGGCGGCTCGGCTCCTCCAGCTTAGGGGGATGGTGGCTGTGGAGACAGCCACCGATCCTTAGTTCCCTGGGCCAGGGTATCCCAGCCTCCCAAGTGCTGCCAACCCTCTTTAATCAGCTGTCTCACAGGTGAGAATCTGGGTTGATCTGCCCACAATACAAAGAAGTCACAAATTCTGCTTATGCTCCAAGAAAAGGAGGGGAAGACTGACCAGTTAGGGCCACAGTCCAAAACAATTTCAGCAGCATAACTTTTTTTTGCAAATAAAGCCTTACTTGGAAGCCCAATATATAAGATAGATAAAAGCGGAGAGGCTCTGGGTGAGGCCTCCCAGCTCGTCTCTCCTCGCTGCCCTGAATCTCAACTCAGGACACCACTGCTCTAAGAGGCCAGGCTTCCCAGGTCTGAGGCCCCAACAGCAAACGGCCTCAGTCAATATTTACTACAACTACATGGAGCTGAGGAGCATCTCAAAAACCTCCTGTGAAGGGTTGGCCTACATCCCTCTCAACTATCCCCCAGGCCCTCCACCCTGAATGTGTGCCTGTTCTCTCTCCACACAACAGGGTGGACGGGCTTGCAGGGACCTGAGCCAATGCATGATGGGGGTTAGATGACAGGACCACAAACCCATCCAGCCTCAATGTCTACACAGAACTTCTCCACTCTAGTCATCTCCCAGAACAACAACAACAAAAGACCTAAATTCTCTATACCAGACCATGCCAAGGCCTGCAGGAAGCCATAAGCTATTATGAGTTTGCCTTTGCAATGTGGGAAGTAGTGTGCTAACAACCACAGAGCATTTCTCCTCATCACCTTTCCTGAGAAAACCGTGTTCCCTTGCTCCAAGTCTATAACATTCTGAATAATCAATGGAAGATAATGACCACCCAGCCCAGGCAAATCTCTAACTCACCACTTTGTGGCAGCATAAGGTAATGACGAGGAGAGGGAGGAACTTTTAGAATCGGATGTAGCCCACTTTTAGATTCCCAGCTGCTCTGCCTGTAACACTGAAAAGTTTCTAAGTTTTCTCCTGAGGGGAAGAGGAGAGGGAAGGGAATGCCTTCGGGGTCCAGCCTGGCCTCCAACTGTTCTGCCAAAGCAACGTAAGAGTCGGCCTAAAAGCTGTCATCCTCAGCATCTTCCAGGAAGGGAAGAAGGAAAGGAGCCACTGCTATGCGTGAAGGCAGCAGGTTGCATGAGCAAGCAGGTGCCACAGCCTCGCTGGGAAAGAGAGAAGCTGGGCTATTCCGAGCGCGGTGTAAGTCCGGCTGCGCGAACCCAACTGTTTTATTTTCCGGCATGAATGGCTGCCAGACACAAGATCCCCGGCCTCGGGCCCCCAGCTCCACTGCCCACTCAGGCCCCACTCTAGGAAGGTGCAGTCAGGAGGCCTCTCTGATCACTCGGCAAAAATGAGGAAAGGCCAGGGTAAAGTAGGCAAGGGGACGCCCCCACCTGCGCCCCACCCCAGCCCTTCTTCCTCCCGGGAAACCGAATGAAAGCCGATCACCTCCCTGCTGGCACTGCCCGCCCGCCCAGCTGGGCTGCCTCCTGTCAGCCCTCGCTGGGAATGGTCAGGCCCCCGCGGCCGGAGTGAGGGCTCCGCGGGCGTTTGGGCCCGAAGAAGGCCCCGGGGCCGCAGACCGTGCCCGGGAAGCATCTGCGCGTCGAGGCCAGC